CAGTCTCATTTTTCTTCCTATACCTAGGGAAAATGGGGAGAGGAGAGGGCCACTCCCAGCAGTCCAACTGCATCACTGCTTGAGTAATGGTCCCCGATGTAGAGCTTGTTCTGAGGGTACTGCTAACATAGTTCATAGTTGTAAGATGCTGTTGATTTTATTGCTCCAAGGGTTAGGGAATACTTCCAAGGTCCACTGGCTGACACAGTCTACCTTAGAGTCTCCACTTACCCAGATACTTGCTGTCAAAGCTTGGCTGGGAGAACTGTCCAATTTGTTCTGCCCTACATTGTACTAGACGTCCTCTGCAGGTCTTGGGAACTAGTTCTCATATCCCCCCATGTGCATCTGGGCATACTGTCCATTGCACAGCTTCAACAACTAAGGAGACCTTGTGTCTGACATATGCCCTCCATGGTCAGACCATAGGTCCTAAAATTTTCCCTATAGATGGAGTTCCCACATCTGTTCCCCCAAGGCGACTATGATGGCACACTGGTATAATTAACACAAATTTGGCACTAACCATGCCCAGGATGCCCGCCAGCTATTAGCTTTTTTTCTTCCAGCAGTGTAACACTTGTCTAGGTACAATCAACCTGGGCAGTTGCTTACAGTTGGGGTTCTGATTTTTTTAGTTTTATGTTTTCAGGGTTCATCTGTGTTATAGGATGCATCAATATTTCATTTACTTTTATGATCAAATAAATTTGTTGAATAGACAGTACTTCAATTGATTATATAAACATGTTTTGCCAATGCCCTTTTGAAAAGAAAAAAGTGTGAGCCTGTAGTCACTTTTAATCTTCTGGGATATCTCAAACTCATTGTGATATTGGCTTTTGGAAAGGTAAGTTTTTGTTGTTTTTATGTCTGGTTACATCTGTGCATTCATTTTAAAGGCTTTGTAACCTTTAAAATAAAATATTTCATTGTTTTAGGCCAGTGAGTTTATTCATAGGTCATACTCTAATAAATTTTCTTTTCAAAGTTTGAAATAAGGCATCATTTTCAATGAAAAATGTGTTTGTATTTAAATGACATTATTGAATTACAGTACAAAATGCCAAACTGTTAAGCAACAGAATTTTATTTTCTTCATACTTTGAGGTTTGGTATTCATGAATGCATGAAAGCATCAAGCGTTTGCTTTGAAGATCTATGCATAAAGCTGTATTTATTTGAATATGGACATCTAAATAAATCACTGGGATCATCTAAATATTTCTAATGATGATTTCAGACATTAGTCTTGATTAAGTCCTGGAGCCATTTTTTGAAGCTGTTTAGGAATTTCCCAGAACAGATCAGTGGCTTTCTTTGTCAAGAGGGAACATTTATAAAGAAGTAATAAATGGGCTTTTAAAAAAATTTAGTACTTTCAGAGGGAAAATATTTTCTCTGTAGACATTAATATGAACGAGCTAAGAGATTATAGAATCTTTAGTTCTAAATGATAGAAGGCACTAATGAAGAACATGAAAATTGGTGTGTAGCTGACCTTTCTCTGCTCTTGGATGAAGAGTGTGAGCCTCATTATTAATGTAAATTTAGACTAATGAGGTGCACTAGTAGGTGAAATGCTCCAGTCCTCAAATGTGCTGGCCCTCTCTCAGTGGGAAGAGATAGGTGGAAATCTTTGCCAGTGATGCAGTGCACGAAGGAGTGTTGATGGGAAGTGTAGAGTACTGGTTAGGTTCTGTGAGGTGCTGAGCATGAAGCTGTCGTGGTCGCTTGTTTGAGTAGATGCACAGTGGTGGAGTTTTCAATTTACGATGTGGAAAGAAATGAGCACTTATCAGAACAGAAGGAAATGTGTGGTTAAACGGTTTCAGCTCTCATTGCAGACTATTTCCTTGGTCCAAATGAGAGGAGAAATGGAGCCTTAGTGTTTTAGGTCCGTTCCCCTCCCCCCCCCACCACCGAGTATAAGAAGAAATTTTCTCAGTATGGTTTTTTTGAAGCTCTTAACGAACATAATTGTGTTTAGTAGTGAAACGGGTGGTATAAATATGTGCTAGGAAGGCATTATTCCTATGGGTTTTATAAAACATTCTTGGGAGTCATTTTTCTAGCAAGTTTATAATTCTCAACAATCATTTATTCCACATCTCTGACAAAAGGATTGAAGACACTTTGTTGAAGAAACTCAAATTGAGTAAGCCACAAAATGAGGCTTTCTGCTTTTCCCTTAAAATGAGAAACTGACTTACTGATTTTACATAATTATATAGATAATAAGAACCTTTTTTCCACTCACAAAGTACTGGAATTATCCAAAGAACGTGTATTTGTTGTACATAAGTGGAAACCTTCATTTATAGAGATGGATTTGACAGTGGTATTTTGAACACTCATTCATGTCCTGGGTTTTCTGCTTTTTAAAAGTCTTATTCAGAGCACTTGATTAAATCTAATATGCTGATTTTTTTCCTCAGAAACTTTACATGAAGTAGAGAAAATGTAAAATTGTGCTTTTAAAAGTAACTGAGGGGCCTGGAGTGTGTGTAGTGGTTAAAGTCCTTGCCTTGCACACGCCGGGATCCCAGATGGGCGCCGGTTCTAGTCCCGGTGGGCCCGCTTCCCATCCAGCTCCTTGCTTGTGGCCTGGGAAAGCAGTAGAGGATGGCCCAAAGCCTTGGGACCCTGCATCCGTGTGGGAGACCCAGAAGAGCTCCTGGCTCCTGGCTTTGGATTGGCTCAGCTCCGGCCATTGTGGCCGCTTGGGGAGTGAACCATCGAACGGAGGATCTTCCTCTCTGTCTCTTCTCCTTTCTGTATATCTGACTATTCAATAAAAATAAATAAATCTTAAAAAAAAAAAGACCCCCCCCACATTGCAATTTTGGAGAACTTGGGTTCAAGTCCCGTTAGGCTTCCCATTCCAGTGCTTGTGCTAGTGCATGCACTTCTGGGGAGTCAGCAAGTGGGGGAGTCCCTGCCACCTAAGTGGAAGGCTTGGTTTGAGTTCTCATTTCAATCTGTCCTAGCCAGGCATCTGTGGGAGTAGACAAATAGATGAGAGCTCTGTGGGGTGTATGTGTGTGTGTGTGTGCGCACACACGCATGCATGTGTCTACTTCTCAAAAAAAAGGTAAGAAAATTCTGGGGGTATTTTTTGTTGTTGTTATGAGGAAAGTTAATATTATTGTAGAACTAATTGCAAAGAATAAGTATGTCAGTTCTGTTCAAGCGCTAAAGGTTTACCAGATGAACAATATTTTCAGTTTTAGCAGTTTTGACAGTAAATTTATTGATATTTTCTAAAGCTTCAGTGCATAAAATATGTTGAACATAATGTATCAGTGACTTGAGATATTATAGTATGTTAGAATACTAATTTTTACTTATTTATTTATTTATTTAGGAAAGTGGAAAGAGTTCTCCCATCTACTGGTTAACTCCCAAAACTTTACCTGCCTAATTAGAGCCGGGCCAGGGCAGGGACTAGGAACTCAGTCTGGATCTCCCACGTGGATGGCAGGGAGCCGGTACTGAGCTGTTACCTACTGCCTTCAATGGTGCACATTAGCAGGAAGCTGGGAAGGGAGCTAAGGCTTGAGCCCAGGTACTCCGCTCTGAAATGCAGGTGTCCTGAGGAGCATTTTAACTACCAGCCCCCTTCAGGATACTCATTTTAGATTGTTCTGTAATGTATAAGCTGTACAGTTGTTGGATGTGATAAAGTTTGGGTTATTTTCTTTAAAAATATTGTGTAAGAGAAAATTCCATTTATTAGGAATTCATTTTTTATTTTTTGAGAAAGAATTTCATAAAGTTTTTATATCTTCTGAATTTTTTTGAGGACTTATTTTTATTAGAAAGGCAGATTTTCACAGAGAGGAGGAGAGACAAAGATTTCATTTCCCAAAGGCTGCCGCAACTGGCCTCCTAATCATGTGTAAGAGACTCTAAAATTAAATTCTTGAATTAAAATCTGTTTAAACTATAGCAGGAGTACTGATTTAAGTCCTAGTTATTCTGGTTCATGTAGATCCTTGCTAATAGTGTCTATGAAGCCATGAATGATGTCTCTGGTACCTGAATCCTTGCCATCGCGGGCTTCTGGCTTCTGCCTGGACCAGGCCTGGGTGTTGCGGTCATTTAGAAAGTGATCCAGTGGTTGGAGGATCTCTTTGTTCTTTCTGTCGCTTCATCTCTTTGCTGTGCCTTTCAAATATAAATCTTCCATAAGATATATATAGATATATGTTTGATAAAGCTGCTCCCTGCAACACCAGCATCTTTATTTCTGATCCATTTTACTGCACTTGTGCCCGAGAAAAGCAGCAGAAGATGGCTCAAGTTCTTGTGGCAGACGTGGATGAAGCTCCTGGACCCTGGCTTCTGCCTGGCCAGTCCCAACCATTGCAGCCATTGGAGAGTGAACCAGTAGATGCAAGAGTGATCTCTCACTCTTTCTCTCTCTCTGTTTTTCTCTAACTCTACCTTTGAATAAATAAATCTTAAAATATTTATACAGGAATGGGTGTCATGTTGCAGCAGGTTAAACTGTATTTTGGAATCCCAGTTTCATTTCAGATCAGTGCTTGGTTCCAGTGCCTCCCACTTCCCTTCCAGCTTCTTGTTGATGTGTTTTGGGAGGCAGCAGATGGTAACCAGTGATTGGGTTGCCACCAGTGTGGGAGATGCAAATGGAATTCCAGGTTTCTTTGTCCTGGCCCAGCCCTGTCGTGGTCATTTAAGGAGTGAACTAGTAGTAGATGGAATCTCTCTCTGTTTCTTCCTCTTTGTCACTCTGCCTTTCAAGTAAATAAATAGTTTTAAAACAACCTGGCAAAAATAATGACTAGAAATATAATACTAGTGAGCTACATTAACTTCATTTTTTAGAATATGTCAGATGCTGTAGTTTGTACATGTATTTTTCTGTGTTCTTGTTTTTAAGAAAACTCTTAGGATTTTATTTTCTTGTGTGTGGTGGTTTTTCAGTGGTCTTCATCCTTTTTTTTTTTTCTTTCTTTTTTTTTTTTTCTTAGGTCTATCTGAAGGCTCCTATGATTCTGAATGGAGTCTGTGTTATCTGGAAAGGCTGGATTGATCTTCAGAGACTGGATGGTATGGGCTGCCTGGAGTTTGATGAAGAGCGAGCCCAGGTAGGATAACATCAGGCTGTTTCAACCATGGTCCCTTTGCCTTCTGAACTGTCTTCTCTGGGGACCTATTTAACCTGTTTTAAGAGTTAATTATAGGGTCCGGTGCAGTGGCCTAGCGATTCAAGTCCTTACCTTGATTGCGCCCAGATCCCATATGGGTGCCGGTTCTAATTCTGGCATCTCCACCTCCCACCCAGCTCCCTGCTTGTGGCCTGGGAAAGTAGTAGAGGACAGCCCATACTTGGGACCCTGCACCCGTGTGGGAGACCTGGAAGAAGTTCCTGGCTCCTGGCTTCAGACCGGTGCAGCACTGGCTGTTACAGTCATTTGGGGAATGAATCATCAGATGAAAGATCTTCCTCTCTGTCTCTTCTCCTCTCTGTATATCTGACTTTGTAATAAAAATAAATCTTTAAAAAAAATCTGTTAATGAAAGAAAAGTCCATTAATGTTGCTAGATTGTGTTAGTAGCTCACTGACTTCCTTAAGGAATATCAGATGCTGCCGCGTTATATATCCTCGTCATCCTCTGCAGTACTTAGTCACAGTTGAATTTTATATTGATTTGTCAATTTTTATGTTCATTGTCTACCTGTCCTGAGGGAATAAAATCACCATATCTTTTGACATATTGTATTCGTGGCACCTAGCTTAATAAGGGCTGAATACATGTTGGTGGAATATAATGAGATTGTAGGCATTGTGGCACAGTGAATTTACCTGCCTTTTAAGTTGTCTGCATCCCAAGTTGAAGTCCTGGCATCTCCACCTCCAATCCAGCTTCCTAATGCTTCCTGGGTGGCAGCTTGATTTTCTGCCTTTCACGTGGAAGACCCAGATAGAGGTCCCAGCTCCCAGCAACAGCCCTAACTGTTGAAGGAATTTGGGGAGTGAAAGGAAGGAAGGGAGAATTGTGTGTGTGTGTGTGTGTGTGTCTGTCTCTCTCTCTCTTCTCTCTTTCTCTGCCTTTCAAGTAAATGGGATTAATGTTTAAAAGAGAGGGAGAATGCATGCATGGGTCAGAAGGAGCATCATGCCGTCAGCAAATATGTCCAGTCCATCCCTAACTAACTGATAAGAAGCACATAGGAATTGAGAACAGTATTTTTTTTTTGTCGGGACCTTTGACTTGAATCGTAAATTCTGAGAATACAGTAAGTAAATTTATGTTTTATTATTTCCATTTTATATATGCATTTGCTAAGATTTGAAGAAATTAAATAATTTGCCCTACTTCTTAAGAATGGAAATTTTACTTTTCAGTTCTAAATTATAGACATGATATCAGTGAAAATTCTATTATAAAATCCTACTGAGGGAGGATTTTTTTTAATAAAAATGTATTCATCTTTATTTGAAAGTTAGAAGGGGAAACAGATCTTCCTTCTGCTGGTTCACTCCTCAAGTCGTTGCATTGGTCAAAGCTGGGCCAGTCCTAATTCAGAAACTTCTTCCCGGGCCTGGTGTGGTGGCCTGGCGGCTGGGGGCCTCACCTTGAATATGCTGGGATCCCATATGGGTGCCAGTTCTAATCCCAGAGGCTCCACTTCCCATCCAGCTCCCTGCTTGTGGCCTGGGAGGGCAGTTGAGGGCAGCCCAAAGCCTTGGATTCCTGCACCCATGTGGGAGACCTGGAGGAGGTTCCTGGTTCCTGGCTTTGGATCAGCGCAGCACTGGCCATTGTGATCACTTGGGGAGTGAATCATCAGACAGAAGATCTTCCTCTCTGTCTCTCCTCCTCTCTGTATATCTCTGACTTTGCAATAAAAATAAATAAATCTTAAAAAAAAAAACTTCCCCTTGGGTACTAGGACTCGAGCACTGGGCCACATTCCGCTGCTTTCCGAAGCTATTAACAGGTTGCTGGATTGGACCTGAAGCATCTAGGACTTGAACCAGTACCTGTATAGGAATGCCAGTGCCACTGGTAGAGGTTTAACTTGCTATGACAGAATTTGTCATGTGAAATAAGATAGCACACAATCCAGGCCTGTTAGAACAACCATGGATCTTTTCATCTTCCTGCTCTACCATATTCGACATGAGATTCCATCCCTTCCCGGGCAGAAAGAATGGGGAAATGGTTCTTAAACTGACTAGGACTTCAGTGGGCTAGAACTGAGTCATATGGTCAGCCCTTGCTGCAGTGAGTCTCAGAAAGTGAATACTGATGATTTCTGACCTTAGTGTGGAACTTTTAATCTTTTCAAGTATATTATCAGAAATCTTAGCACATTTTCAAAAGTGTGTGCGTGCCTCCTGTGCCAGAGACATCACACCCTGTCATAGCACACATAGATCACTGGGAGCACTGTGGTGGGAACGTGCTTTAGGTGTGCTCTGATGTCTTTGTGGTTGGGGACGCTGCTCATAGAAGCACAAAAAGACCAGGAGAAGTGTAGTAATCTGGGTAAGAGCTCTTAGGGGCTTGAGCTAGGAAAATGTTTCTAGGAGTGAAGGAGAATAAAGATTCTGAAAACGGCCCGGCGGCGTGGCCTAGTGACTAAAGTCCTCGTCTTGAATGCGCTGGGATCCCATATGGGCTCTGGTTCTAATCCCAGCAGCTCCACTTCCCATCCAGCTCCCTGCTTGTGGCCTAGGGAAGCAGTCAAGGACAGCCCATAGCCTTGGGACCCTGCACCTGGGTGGGAGACCTGGAAGAAGTTCCTGGATCCTGGCTTTGGATCGGCATAGCGTTGGCTGTTATGCTCACTTGGAGAGTGAATCATCAGATGGAAGATCTTCCTCTCTGTCTCTCCTCCTCTCTGTCTATCTCTGACTTTGCAATAAAAATAAATAAATCTTAAAAAAAAATTCTAAAACAGGTTGAAAGAGAAATGGAGGTTTATTGCCTGTGGAGATGATGAGAGTATAAAGTCAAAGATGGCTCAGGTTTCTAGGATAAATGAAAGATGCCAACTGCTGAGACCAAGGGAGGGTAGAAGAATGGGTGTTAGATGTGAGACACCTCTTGTGATACTTGCATTAGAGTGCCGTAGGTTCAGGTTCCAGCTTGATTCCAATTTCCTGCTAAAATGCTCCTTGGGAGGCAACAAGAGATAACTCAGTTTATTTCCAGCCATCCATACAGACAACCCGGATTGAATTCCAGGTTCCTGCTTCAGCCTGGCTCAGTTCTGGCATTTGGAAAGTGAAACAGTGAATAGATCTCTGTATCCTTCTCTCACTATAAAATCTGCTTTTAAAATAAAAATAAATGTAAGACAATAGAGGTGTTTATTTTCTTGTTCTGTGATTTAAATGTTGAATTAATCAAAACTTTATTTTGGTAAAAGATGAGGAAAGGAAAGAAAAGCACGTTATTGAACATGATTGCTATTACTAAGGTATAATATGAAACTTGAAAATATACTGTTTTAAATCTCATTAAACATACCTCCGATGTTAATTTTTATAGTGTTTTGTATTTTCACTGAAACTATTTCCTTCAAAAAGAAGGCATCACTGAATTTTAAGTTGTTTCATAAACCTGTTAAAATAGCTGTCTCAATGTGTTTTGACAGCAGGAAGATGCACTAGCACAGCAGGCCTTCGAAGAAGCTCGGAGAAGGACACGTGAGTTTGAAGATAGAGACAGGTCTCATCGGGAGGAAATGGAGGTGAGAGTTTCACAGCTGCTGGCAGTAACTGGTTAGTACTCTCCCCAAACTCTCAGGCTGTGTTTGTGATATTTGTGTGTAATGTCTTTTAAATAATTTAACATTGTCTTTCATTTTTTTAAAAAAGATAATCCCTGGCTTTATATTTTATTACAGGTAATTGTTATAAAGATATTCTTATTTTAAGCTTTGTAATAAATTACTCCTTTATTGGTCTTCGTAAATGATTTGTTGTAACAAGATATAGTTTAATTCACTTGGCCAACTATCCCACATCTTTTTTTTTCCCCTTCATTTATTTTTGAAGTTTTTTGTAAGAATCACCTATTTACATAGAAAATACATCTAGAACATTACTGAAACTGTTCAGAAATACCATTTTTCATTGAATTGTCTTGATCTTGTAACAGTATGATTTTCAGTCGCTGGGTAATCTCTTCACTAGAAAAAGTGTAATATTTTCAAACACACAAAAAAAAATGGAATTCAGATATTTTGTTCAACTTTTTTGATAACCTTTTTGTTATCAAAGAAAATGCAGTTGTAGAAATCTATACAACAGAAGTATGTAGCTAATTATTATGAGGCTAACACCTTGTAATTAATTATACAGGTGAAAAAGTAAAACTTTGATAGCCACCCCAACAACCTCCCACTGTGAGTACGTATGCTCATGACCCCCTGTTGAATCTTGAGTCATGACCTCTTCCTGCTGCCCAAAATTAATCATTTCATCTTGCAAAGATTTCTTTTTATTTGAAACATAAAGTTTACAGTGAGAGAAGGAGAGAGGGACAGTACAAGATCTTCCATCTGCTGATTCAGTCCCCAAAGTGGCTGCGGTCACAAGAGTTGAGCCAGTCTGACACCAGAGGCCTAGAAACTGCTTCCAGGTCTCCCATGTAGGTGCAGGATCCCTAGGCTTTGGGTAACCCTACACTTCTTTCCCAGGCCCCAAGCAGGGAGCTGGATAGAAAGTGGAGCAGCTTGGGACACAAACCAGGGCTCATTAAAAATCTTTTTAAAGGCCTAGTATGTCAGGGCAGGCACACTTCTGACCTTAGTGTAGAACCTTAGCATAGCAAGCTAATCTTCTGCTTGTGGTGCTGGCATCCATATGATTGCCAGTTCTAGTTCCTGCTGCTCTAGTTCCAGTCCAGTTCCCTACTAATGGCCTAGGGGATGACCTTGGGCTCCTGCAGCTGTGTGGGATACCTGAACGAAACTCCTGTCTTCCAGCCACAGACCTGCCTAGTTCTGGCCATTGCTTCTGTTTGGAGAGTGAACCAGCAGAATATGTCTTTGCTTCCCCCATTTTGACTTTCTAGTAAAAATAAATCAATGTCTTAAAAAAGCCAAAAAGCCTAGTAAGTAAAAAAAAAGTTGTCAAACATTCATGTCTATCATGTGCTTAAAATTTATAAACTCGGTAATATGAATATTTCACCAAGGAAAAATAGAAGAAGCATGTATTTACCTTTTATAATCAAAAGGCAGTAAATTTGATTATAGTAAATAATCTTAATAGAGTAATTTTCAGATATCAAATTGGTGTTATGAGGCTACAGTAGTCAAATTCATACAGACAGTGCCCGGTGCTATAGCCTAGTGGCTAATCCTCACTGTGCATGTGCCAGGATCCCAAATGAGCACTGGTTCATATCCTGGCTACTGCACTTCCCTTTCGGCTTCCTGCTTGTGGCCTGGAAAAGCAGTGTAGGGCGACCCAAAGCCTTCAGACCCTGCACCCACACGGGAGACCTGGAAGAACTCCTAGCTCCTGGCTTTGGATTGGCTCAGCTCCGGCCATTGTGGCCACCTGGGAAGTGAGCCAGCAAATGGGAGATCTTTCTCTCTGTAAATCTGACTTTGCAGTCAAAAGAAATAAATGTTTAAAAACATTCTTACAGACAGCAAATAGAATGGTGATTACCAGTGGAGCTGGAGAGTGGTTGTTTAATGAATGTAGGATTTCCGTTTTGCAAGATAAGAATTGTAGAGATTCGTTGCATAATTTGAATATACTTAACACTGCTGAACTATATACTTAAAAATAATTGAAATGATATATCTTATTTGCTGTATGTGTTTGTTGCATTGTTAATTCAGTGTAAATATGTACAAAGACGGTTGTGAAGGGACCAGCTTCTGGAACTTGATTGAAATTTTGAATCTGGCTCTGCAACTCAATGTGTCAGACAATTTGGGCAACTTAGTGCTTCTTTCTGGGACCAAGTCCCCTCGAGTGTAAAGTAAGACAGATGAGATACGAGAGCATTCTTGCAGTGTGTGACACTGCTGGGAGTCAGCTGCCGTTAGGGCTGCTATTTTCCATATGTATTCTTTTTTTTCTTTTGTGTTACAGTATATTTTTCAAATATTAAGCCTATTCATTGTTTAATGTATGAAGTAAAAAGCAGTATCTTTAGTAACTGACAACTGTCTTCATGAATGAGGTCGTGAATCTGATGGGCTGATAATGACTGAAGACATTCCCAAGAATACTTTCTAGTGTGGAGACGATGTACTTTCTAGGAGGGATGTATGTGCCATGTTTGCTCCCTCTGGAGCTTTTCTAATTCCTGAGATAAGACTCCCAAACCGTTCTTTTCATTCTGCATCAGTAAAATGTACACGCTTCTAAATGTACAGTATGCATCTGTTAACTTATATTTCTGAATCACTTTAGTCATCTTATGTTTTCTTTATGTACCAATGTAATTTTAGAGCCATTCGTCCAGACCCAGGTTTAGTATTATCTGTCAAGACATTTTGTAGTCTTTCTAAATCATAATTAACCCTCCCTCTGTGTAGTTTCCATAGCAGTTGTTTCTATTAGTGTTCTTGTTAAACAGTGTACTGAAGTAATTATAAATGTGCTTGTATATCACTTTATTGAGATTCCTTAAAATTGGGCCCAACCTTTCTATCCATTATATTGCCCCACCACAGTATTCTGTATATTGTATTTAGTTGTTAAATGGATATTTTCAGAAAACAAATTCCATTCTGCCAAACTGAGGTACAAAATTGTAAAGCAGATAATATACTGGTCTCTGGGAAGATTTTGTTTATAAAACTTGTTGGTTTACATTAGTTGTAAAACTCACCTTGTTGCTGTATTCTGCATTAGAGGCTGGATAATGTGCCTGAAAATGCATGGCATCTGCCTTTGAGTATTTGTCAGTCTGGAAGGGAAATGAATGTATAAACAGGTAGTTGCAGTGCTCTTTAGCAGCCATCTTACCTATTTATGGGGGCTGAAAGCAGGACAGTGGCCATATAGGGAAGCCTTACATCAGCCTCGGTCCAGGGGATTTCCAGAACACACTTGCCAGAACTTGAAGGAATAGTGAACCTGCTGGACAAGTTGAGAAAAACATGTTGGATAGAAGAAACATTGTATGCAAAGGAACGGAGGAGTACAGAGCTTGCCAAGTCAGAACATAGTCTTTGTGGAGCAGGCTAATGTGGCCTTAAAAGAACCTGAGGATCGTTTTCTAAAATGCGCTCTTCAGGAGTGGCCATTGTGTTGCAGCAGGTTGAGTCACTGCTTGTGATGATTGCTTCCTGTGTTGGAGTTCATGGGATCAAGTTTGGCCTCCATTTCAGATCCAGCTTCCTGGTGGTGTACACACCCTGGGAAGGTGGTATAAATGCCTAGCTCCCTGCTGCCTCTGGGAGACTGATGGAGTTCCTCACTCCTAGCTTTGGTCTGGCCTGATGGTTGCTGTTGCAGGCATTAGGGGAATGAAGCAGCAGAGGAAGGGTCTCTGTTGCTCTCTCAGTCAGTTGCTCTGCCTTTCAAGTAAGTAATTTTCTGAATTGCTGTTTGGCTAATAATAACTATTTGACAGTGGAACAACTAGAAAGTTTTTGTATATTGCAGGGAAACAGATTAATGATAAAGACTTGTCTATTCTGGGTTGTTGATCTTCTGTTATTACTTGAAAAAAATCATTCTGGTGTGAGTTTATGTGTGTACATAAGCAAATCAGTGTGTTGTTTGAGGTGTTAAATATGTTGCTTGCAGTTGGGCTTGTTTTCTGTAAGAGGTTGGTAGTCAGGCCTAACTAAGATTCTTACAACATCAGCTGCTAGTCTTTCTTAAGCTCCAGTTTTCTCATGAAAATTGTTTCAAGAATTAAATGGGAAAATGCTCATTAAGCACTTAGTATGGTGCTTCGTATGTGTGTGCTTACAGTAAACGATAGCTCTGGAGTACTTCTTTAGCACTAAAAGCCCGACCACAGTGCTGGTTCCAGTTAATTGAATAGTCTGGTAACACGAATATCCTTTTAGTTCTCTAAAGTGTATCGGAGCACTTCTGCATTATGACCTGGAGCCTAGAGAAACAGTTAAATTTTCATCAATGATTCAAGATCCTGTAGTCCCTTCCAGCACTAATTTAAAACATTAGCTCAGGAGGAGAACTGTCATCTACAAAACTGGTCTGGAATCTGACTCCAGAGCATTCACTGGTGGTCACGTGGGCAATTTTGGAGTTAAATGTCTTTTTGCACTTTGTGTGAATATATTTTGCTTCCTTTTTTTGAACACTGCCCCTACCCCCAATTCTTTTTTTTTTTTTTTTTTTTTTTTTGCTTTTATTAATTACATTGTATTATGTGACACAGTTTTATAGGTACTGGGATTCCCCCCCACCCCTCCTCTTACCCTCCCCCCATGGTGGATTCCTCCACCTTGTTGCGTAACCACAGTTCAAGTTCAGTTGAGATTCCTTCATTGCAAGCATATACCAAGCATAGAGTCCAGCATCTTATTGTCCAGATAAATTCAACGGCTTCTTGGGGAGACCTTCTCTGGTCCCCATTCAGCTGGTGGTTGCAATTGCTGGGTTGGTTCCATCTTGAGCCTCGACTTCCACTGGAATCAATGGGTGTTGTAGTCCATCCTGGTTCTGCTTGTCACGTACTCGGCCATCACACCAACCACTGGGAGCTGCAGCCTAGTGGGAGCAATCCCCAATAACCCCCACCTGGCCCGCCCCTGCCCTGATTTGCCAGCATG